CCCTTTCCCTGCCATTCCTGCGCTGTTATTGGTCACTGCTAAACGTTTCTTTGGGCCAATCAGCAAGAACACAGCGCTCCATCCTGTGTGTGTAGCAGCGACGCGTACAGAGCACAGCCAGCCCAGCAGGCTCTGCTCAGTGACTGCTGCTATGGTGTATCGAGACGAAGTGGTGAGATTAACGTCCCGGTTTAGAGTTAAGGACGAATAGACTCGAGGAAGTAAACAAGAGAGGACTTGGAGCGACTTGGAGAATATGAACAAAGCAGAAGCACCACGTCGCCCGACCGCCTCTCTAAAATTCACTATCGACAACATTCTCAACCTCAAGACAAGCGGCAGTAACTGTGACACTTGTCACTCCGCCGGATCGCAGGATGAACTGGCCACAGCGATGCGTAAAGACAGTTTTCGTCACGAAGAGAAAGGAAGTCAAGCCAGACAGGACCCGGACAGGCTCAACGACAGTGGTAAGAGCTTTGAACCAATTTCTATCTGTGTTCATATCTACGCACAGCTCGCACTCGTCGATAATTCAGTTTAACGTGACAGCAGAGTTTGAGTATTGACCACAGTGGGTTAATCAAAGTGTCATTTTATTGCAGAGTTAACCACAGACTGTAGCGGATCAACGGAAACGGTCGTCATCAGCCGCGGGAATCAGAGGAAGGTGACGGAGGCGCGCTTCGAGAGCGGGGACAGCAGCTGCGATGACAGCAGCTCCCCCACCGCAGCCACAGACCCCCACAAAGGAGGGAGCCCAGGCAAGAAGAATAAAATGATAACGAAAAAGAAAACACGCACTATTTTTTCAAAGAGACAGATTTTTCAGCTGGAGTCTACTTTTGACATGAAACGTTACCTGAGCAGCGCAGAGCGCGCCTGCCTCGCCAGTTCGTTGCAGCTCACGGAGACCCAGGTAAAAATATGGTTTCAGAACCGTAGGAATAAATTGAAACGACAAATTTCTAACGAAATCGAGGGACCAGTTAGCGATTTCCCCGAGACTGGAAAGCCTGTGGTGGTGGGGCAACTCCCGGCTTTGTACAAAGAGAGCAACCTGCTGGGGAGATGCCTGCTGCCCGTGCCTCTGCCCGTGGTCTACCCGGGAAGTAGCACGCCTTACCTCTGCTTCTCAAACGCCAGCAAGTACTTCAGCCTGTATGAAGGGGACGTATGATGCTTTTAACAATTCCCTGCAGTGAAAGAGACACTTTTAGTGGTCTGTTGCCAACTTTGAAGCATTTAAGGTGGTTTAGATGGAGGAGACGGCTCTGCGGCCTTAACTGTTGATTAAGACTGCAACTACAGTGGCAGGGGAGTAGTTACATATCACACACAAATAAGCGGATTCAGTATTATTTATTTTCAGTCATCTGTGGGTTTTGTAGAGGCCTGACACGAAACCTGTTGTTACACATAGCCCTGTACAGATCAATCTCAGGCTACGCTAATGATAGCCCGAGGGAGGCCCAAAACAATATAATTTAGATCATTTTATTGTTTACATTATTATTATTATTGTTATTATTATTGACAAAAGCATATCCAGCAGCCTAAGCCACCAAAGAAATTATTATATCCGATTTGCATGCATTTCCTATATCATAAATGAATTTTGAATTTTACTGAAATTATCTTTGTATTTAAATGAATGTAATTAACATTTTATTCTGTTTCACGCATGTGTTTTGTTTTTCTGAATATTTTATCATTCTTACTTTGTTTCACGTTTGCCTGTGGGCCCATTACACCTTTTATTGAAATTGTAATTAAAATATCTTCAAGAAATATTTCACAGAATTGATTCAGTATTTTGCAGTGACCCTTGTGTTCCGGACATAAATTGTATCTAGTTTCACAAAACTGTATATAATACGCTATGGATGCAGTTGTTGGTTAATTAATTTTCTCAATATCTTTGTTATGAGGATTCTGTAGGACCTATTGACTGAAAAGAAATAAAAAATACAGCTGCAAAAAGGTAAATCATGCAAAAGCGTAAACATATGGCCTCTGTAAAAACCACTCAATGTAAATTTTTTTTAAATTACACCATGCTGCTGTAGCCTAACCTCTATGGGTGAAAGGACAAGGCTTAGGCAAAATAGTGGCACACTAACATAGATAATTTGTTAAATTTGGAGGGCAGTACTTTATACTACATTCATTTTAAATACCTTACAGCCAGCTGAATATTATTATTACACTGAGTCATAAAAGACAAACCATGGAGTAACAACCTCAGTATGTCTGTGGAAAAAAAGTATCACTTTTATCTTCAACTGAATAAAAAAAACGGCATATTAGAGGCATAACTACAAATGACAGTAAATGAAATTGGCAATACAATGTGAGACTAATTCTGTTTTACCTTAAGAAAAAAAATGTTTACATTGAAGCAAAGTGGTTACACATTCAGACATTCCCTTCTGTTTCTGTAGGTAAATACTTCAGGTTACACTTGGTTACGATGTGCTATATCAGAGGAGAAATAATATGAGACTAATCTTGTAACTTGCTGAGAAACTAAAATATTTTGGAAAACTTTTGACCCAAAGATGTAGAGCTGACAGATGTAGATATGAGGTGAAGCTCCTCCTTCCCCATTTGGTTATGACAGAAAGCCTACCTAAATTCTCCTTGTGTCCAGCGCTCAGTACATATCTCCAGCATGACTTTAAGCATACAGAATGGGAAGCTTTTCGCCCACTCCCGTGAAGCCAAGCCAAGGCTCTTTCCTTTTGAGTTAACTTCTTTTGTGTCAGCTGTATTAGCAAGGGGATATTTACACCCAGGACTCCAGAGTGAATTAATTCACTTCCCCCAAAACAGAAATAAGGCTATCTGCTTTCTGGAGTTCTTATTTCTGAGATAAGATGTCTTAGCTGTTTAAATTATATAGCTAACAAGAAGGAAAATAAAAAGAGAAAGTAACTAGTAATGATCCCTAACTACAGCAAATAACATGTTTTCTAAATGGCGATATAATATGCATTTTCAGAATTTAAAGTATGCATTGCGGTATACCTAACAGGGTATAAAACGATAGTCATTGTCTAATACTTTTCTTATTTTAAAGGAAAAAATGATGCAAAATAATGTAAAAAAAATCTTATTTTGTCTAGATTTATAGTGTTTTTACTAAAAAACAAGTAACGTTTGTCTGCAAAATATCTTAAAACACTGTGGTGGTGTTTCACAGGGTAACATTGTGATGTTTTAAATCTTATGATTTTCCCAAGACCAAAGATAATTTGTTATTTCACTGATGCCCGCAGGGAGTGTGAGTGTGCCACAAGCATAATACCCTTGACTTAGACTAAGTGATCCATCACAGACAACAGAAGAAAACATAACTGAAAACAATAATTTGTCAAAAACAATAATGCCATTTTCTCCACTAACAAAAATTCTCTTTCTGCATTGAATGAGCTGAAAGTGAGCTAACCTTATCAGTACTGCCCTTTGACCCCCACGGGGCACTTTGCCAAAACACTTAACCTGCACGTTTATAATAGCATAGGCCTAAATCATACTGAGTAATCTATACTATCTACTACGGAGGTATAATCACATAGTTAAAATGAAGTTACTTAAGAGAAAAACAGGCCACTATGTGTTCATTACCGATCCTCTGTGGCAAATAAAGGAATCTCAGAGGCATTCACATCTATCATTGTGTGTGATTCAGACATCGACTCCATCGAGTGTGTGTGTGTGTGTGTG